CAAATTCATGAATCAGCACCAAACGCATAGCATTGTTAAGCAGCACATCTAATTCTAGGGCTGTTTAGAAAATTTAGGGAGCCAGACGCATCAAAAGCTTGTGAGCGAGCCAACGTTAGTATGTATCACTTTTACGCGTTATGCACGTATGCAAATGCCAAAGCGCATATTGTGACAATTCATCATATGAGTGTGTTTGTGTCTATCCTGGTACACAGCAATTAAACAAACTCCGGCGCTAAAGTTTTGCTGGTGGGCCTTCCGGCCAAGTCCCAACCCAGGACCGCGGCACCAATCTCCAAACACACCTGCGTCCCGTGTACGAGCGCATGAAAGTTTTTACAGGAAAGTCGCTAATCGGGAACCAGAAAAGCTGGATAGCTGAAAATTTGAGGAGACACTTCTCCTTTTTAAAATTTGAAGGTTTTAAATTCAGCTTCCAGATGTGCGTGTTTTTCACGTGCGGGCTCGTGAAATTTTTGGAGGGAAAATTGCTTACTCTAGAGCTAGAAAAGTTGGAAAGCTGAAATTTTAACGGAATGTCCCTTGTCCAATTACCTCGTAGTTGCAAAATTAACTTCCTGGACTTCGAGGGCCAGTATGTCACAAATTCTAGCTAATAGGATTCCAAGCGATCTTACTACAGCGCGAAATACCTCAAAAACCCATGATTTCAAAGGCCCATCTGGCATGCGTCGCCAGTGATTTGATATGGGACATACAGTCACAAGAAAATTTACCACTGAAGATTTTTTACTTTTTGCCGCTAGTGTGAGGGAGAAGAGGGGAACGGATGGACAAAATGCGAATAAATAAACAAAATTCTTTCCAATATTTGACAAATTTTTATTGCTTTCATTCAGTATATATTATATCATTAAAAAAAATCTCACTAGAATGACTGCAGTAGTATCTTTCAATTTTTTCGGAAAATTTGTTAAAGGGCTAACCTTCTAACAAAGTTCTAATTACGGCACTTTCTTCAACTATATGAGAGGAAGGTTCAAACGAATAAGAAAAACATGACATGAATGTAAACTACATCTGCCCGGTTT